GTGCTGCTGCCGAATCCTGAAGACTACCTCCTGCCTCCTGCACGTGAAGTGCCTGGGAAGTTCCTATGAACTGCCTCGTGACTGCCTGCAGCCTGCAGGGCGGGCCAGTCTTGTATAGTGCTGGCCCGTCCAGGAGGCTGCTCTTGCCAATGCCAAAACGTGTCAGACCCTGGCGTTGAAGTTCAACAAAGTTTGTCTTGAAAACAGGCCCAACATGGCCTGTGCTAAAACCCTGGTCTGGTGCCTAAGTTTCAGGGCAGGTCGATCTTATGAGGGCCTGAAAATGGCCCTCTGTTTCAGGCTGAAAAGACTCAGGGCCTGGAGGGCCCTGTTTTAGGCTGAAACGACACAGGGCCTGTAGGCCCTTGTTTTCAGGCTTTCAGGCTTTCAGGCTGAAACGACACAGGGCCTGTAGGCCCTCGTTTTCAGGCTTTTAGGCTGAAATGAAATAGGCCCTACACCTACTGACCCTTAGTCTACCTTGTTGGGCTCTGCTGGGCCCGTGTGGTACAGAGTATGCCACAATGGGACATGCCAGCAGGCAGTGTTCGAGGGTTGCTCGGGCTGGTTGTTAGGACCTTCCAGAATACGCACATATGGGGGACAGCTTCCATTGCTGTTTGAGGACGGTTCGAGACACGAGCCAGTTGGGGGTGGGGAGGCAACGGTGCAGGATCTGCCATTGTAGAGATCTATGGTTCGTGGGCATGATTTTCGCATATTTGGACCAGGTGAAGTTTTCTGATAGCTTGGGTTCCAATGGTGAGTCCCTTGCCCATCTGTTAGCTATTGTGTGATTGATTGACAGGTCCTGACCTGATGCTCTATGTCCCCTCTTAATTATGTAATCCCATATGTGCATAGGTTTGGAGCCAGGCCATTCCCATTCTGCGAGGTCGAAGGGGAGTCTCGCGACTGGTGTGCTACTGTCAAAAATGCATAGTGGCCATTCTCTGGATCCCCTACCACGCTTATCTGCATCAGTCCTTCCCACCAATATGCAGTATCCAGATCTTCATTCTTCATGAGTTTTGAGAATAATAATAATAATAATAATAATAATAATAATAATAATAATAATAATAATATGCGAGGCTGAAGCCCCGATGAGCCCCCTTTCAGGCCCTGCCATACAGCACGTCGGCCGCCCTAAGTGAAGGCAGGCTCGACGAGGGCCTGAGGGCCCTTATTTTGGTCACCACGCAACTCAGGAAATTCAGGCAGTTGTGCAACGCCAGTTGGTTGAAGGAACCCACACCCTGGGCAACCTGTGTGAATGTATCGAAGGCAGGCCCTGGGTTGGATTCAGGACGTGGGCCTAACACAGGCCGTTGACAGTTGGGCGCGAGCAACCACTACAGGCCCAGGGCCTGAGATGTGCGGACTGGGCCTCAGCCTACCGGGGCCTACCGGAATCTTCTTGGGAAAGGCCCAGCGCAGCCTGGGACAGCAAGCAGGCAGGCCACTTCCATATAGCAAAGGGCCTGCCTCTGCATGGGGCATTCGGGTGCTGGCTGCATGCTGCGCAAGCGCTGCTGCACTGTAGCTCGCTGGCACTCACGCGCGAGCAGGAAGGAGCAGGCAGCCATAGCCGAGCTGCGCTGCTGTAAGCTGGGTGTGGCGCAGGGTGGTCCTTGGGTGCATGTGGCATCTGTGTGTTGGGGAACGAGGTTGTGAGTGAAGCGAGAGACATACCTGGTGCTGGAAGCGTGCGGCATTGGCCGCTATCTGCTCGTACTTCGGTGAAGCTGTTGTCGTCATCTTCGGCATTGTAGTATAGGCTAGATAGGATCTGCCATCTGTAGTCTGGGTGCCGAGCGCCAGATAGGATATCAACATTGGTTCTTCGTTGATGATGATGATGATGGGACTATTTCAGCATTGTCAATTATGAACTCTTGGTGTGCTCTTATTTGGTGAAACTCGTGATGCAATTCTGCTGTTGGTTCGAGGTCACGACTAGCTGGTCTCATATGTATGATGCTGTTTGATTGCTGAAGTTCGCTATTGCTCATCTTCCTTGCAAATAATAATAACATTAATAATAAAAGAAGCTGGCGCCTGGCAGTTGAGGCTCATAGGCCTCTAGCTCACAGGACCCATTGTTATTTTCCTTGACCTTGTACCCCAGCAATCAAGCTTCACATCAGACAACCTTTTCCAAAACAGCTTACCTTATCGCAAGGTTAGAAGTGGCAGAACACGAACCCGGCAACCTACAGTTGAGAGAGAAAGGGTGAGTCGTGAGGAAACACGGACAAACAACCATGAGGCAAAAAGCAGAAGACAACAAAGCAATGGCAACAAGCAGCAGCAAGAGACACATAGGCTGGAGGGCGCGGGGGGGGAGGCAGGTGGGCAGTCAAACAGCACAAGGAAGTGAAGGGAAAACCAGCAAGCCAAAGAAATTCAGCAAAAGAAAGTGCAATTACCAAACCAAACAAGCCTGAAAAGAAAAAACTGACGATGGTAGATTGTGCTTCAGTGGAGTTGCACAGACTCATCGGAGGCTGAACCCTCGACGATCTGCGGAATCCTTGTATTGATGACTTGGGTCATGAACGCTGTGACGCTTGTTAAAAGCAGACTGTCCACAAGGGGAACACAGAGGCAGCCAACAGCTCTGTGAGGCACCAGGTAACAGTGCCGGAGCAACCCAATTGCACAACACCAACACACGTGGTTAACGGGGACCCCCAGTTTCAGCTCCTGCCCAACAGGTCCAAAACTGAAATTAGGGTTTGGGAGTCAAATTTTATGTTTTTTTTGTCTTTTTGTTTTTGCCTGTTTTTGTTTTGGTTCAAGGTTGTTGTGTACCAA